TACAACATTGGGCCCGGATTGTTATCTTACTCTTGGTTTCTCTGGTGTCATTGGAGCGCGTCAGGTAATGGGCGTGCTGGTGAAGCGAGCTGCTCATCATGTCTGTTGCCTTATCAGACCAAGACACAGACATCAGGGTTGCAGTGAGACGAAGTTGGCAGGTTTATTTTTGTCAAAATACAAATGAAAAGAAGAAAACCAAAATAGAAGGCGACTCCAAAAGGGAAGTCCGTGGGTCTGATCCGAAAGTCAAACCCGAGGAGATGTATGGGGAAATCCTACACTGCGAGTGCGTCAAGATCAACCATACAACGTTTCTAGAGGAATCGGCGTCCAAAGCTGACCACTTGGCAGGTCCCCAAGGACGGCACGATATTAGCTATCACCAGGAATTGGATCCCACTGCTAAGCTCTTGAAGGACCCCGCGTTGGCTGTGCCTCGGGGTAATATGGGCTCGGAAACGAGACGAGAGTGAGAAGTCGAGGACTGACTGAGCTCAATTGTTATGACAATGTGATTCGGCAGTTCGAAGAGGTTCGTAGATAGCGTCAACATCGGCTGCTCTCTTGTCTGATGGGTTTCTTTTGGTGGACTGTTGACCCATAGTGCCATACCATCTTCAAGATTTTCGGGGAAAAAGAGGTTGAGGTTACAATCGGCCATTTTTAGCAGCCGAGTGTCGATCACTGAGTGGATGGGATTCTGTTACGGCACCCAAATCAGTGCGATTCCGGCCGAACAGTACTCAAAATTCCTGTTTTCGTTGTAAGCAGATCGACTATCCATAAGGACCTGTCGATCTCGAATGAATGGTTAAAAAAAAAGACAAAGAAAAACAGAATCGAGCATAACAAGTGCGGAACAAAGTCATCACAAGTTGCTCCAGGAATTGAGAAACGGATGCGGTTGACATTGATGAGCAACACCTCGAATGTTTGTTAGCGTGATACCTGTCCCGAAGCAAGTTCGGAATCGAAAAGGCCTCTTCGAATAGAAACAGGATTTCTTTTCAACTAAAAGACGTTTTTGAAGATGAGGAGATTATAAAAACTGTATGCATTGTTCAAAGCAAGACCGCCTTATTATTTGAAAAAAGAAAAAAAGAAGCATAGATCGAAGAATTGCGATAACAAATGTTCAAGGAGAGCGTTGCCCGGCCGGAGCTGGCAGAAGGTTTTCCCGAATCCCCAAATGTTTCCTGGGATCAACTGTGGACCCACACCTTGTTAGCTGAACGATAAGCGACGATAAGCCTTTTCCTGGCAAAAAAAAAATCCGCCTGTGCCTCCCAAGAAACGGTCCAGCCAGCAAGAAACAATAATTGATCAAAAATATTTCATCTCCATCACCGCAAAAATGGCCTCCGATCTCGCAAGCAAGAAGCGCAAACTGAAAGATTCTTCAAAATCCGAAGCCAAGGCTGTTAAAAAGTCAAAGAAAGTCAAGAGAGACGAAGAGAGCGACGCCGAAATCGAGAATGCGCCCGAGCCCACTGCCAACGAAAACGAGTCGAGCTCCGACAATGAGCAGCCAGAGGATGAGAAGGCCCAAGTTTCAGAACCTGCGAAACAGCAGAATGGCGACGACGAGATGGAACTCACCAACCCCGATGCTCCTTTGATTGCCCCTCCAGTAGACACCAATGCGACTAACTTCACCGAACTCAACCTTTCAGAGAAAACCATCAAGGCAATCGAGGAGATGGGTTTCACAAAGATGACCGAAATCCAGCGAAGGGGTATTCCACCGCTGCTCGCAGGCAAGGATGTGTTGGGAGCGGCCAAAACAGGATCCGGAAAGACTCTCGCATTCTTGATTCCCGCCATTGAGATGCTCAGTTCCCTCCGCTTCAAACCACGAAACGGTACCGGTGCCATTGTAGTCACCCCGACTCGCGAGTTGGCCCTCCAGATTTTCGGTGTTGCGCGCGAGCTGATGAAGCACCACTCTCAGACTTGTAAGGGATTGTCTTATTTCTGCGTGATTGCTGTATTGCTTGGCTGACACAAAAACAACACAGACGGCGTGTGCATTGGTGGTGCGAACCGGCGGGCAGAGGCGGATAAGCTTGGGAAAGGTGTCAATTTGTTGATCGCAACCCCTGGTAGACTGCTTGATCGTATGTTTCCCAGCTCACTCCTTCTCACAGGAAGCTTCTAACAATGCGGCACAATAGATCTCCAAAACACTCCTTTCGTCTTCAAGAACCTCAAGACGTTAATTATTGACGAGGCCGACCGAATTCTCGAAGTCGGTTTCGAGGATGAAATGCGCCAGATCATCAAGATTCTTCCCAAGGAGGACCGACAGACGATGCTTTTTTCCGCTACACAGACGACCAAGGTCGAGGACCTTGCCAGAATATCTCTCCGACCTGGTCCCCTTTACATCAATGTGGACAAGGAGAAGGAGTACAGCACAGCCGAGGGTCTCGATCAAGGTTTCGTTGTGGTGGATGCCGACAAGCGCTTTCTCTTGCTCTTTTCTTTCCTGAAGAAGATGGCCAAGAAAAAGGTCATCGTCTTCTTTTCGTCCTGCAACTCTGTCAAGTACTACAGCGAATTGCTCCAATACATTGACCTACCAGTTCTGGACCTCCACGGGAAGCAGAAGCAGCAAAAGCGAACCAACACCTTTTTCGAGTTCTGTAACGCCAAGCAGGGTACCCTCATCTGCACAGACGTCGCCGCCCGTGGCCTCGATATCCCGGCAGTCGATTGGATCGTCCAGTTCGATCCTCCCGATGATCCTCGCAACTACATTCACCGCGTCGGCCGGACAGCTCGTGGCAACAACGCCAAGGGCAAATCGCTTTTGTTCTTGCAGCCATGTGAGCTTGGCTTCCTTGCTCATCTCAAGGGCTTCAAGGTCCCCGTGGTCGAGTACGATTTCCCGACGAGCAAGATTCTCAATGTTCAATCTCAGCTAGAGAAGCTCATCGGGAGCAACTACTATCTTAACCAAAGCGCCAAGGATGGTTATAGGTCGTATCTCCACGCCTACGCTTCTCACAGTCTTCGGAGCGTGTTTGACATCCACAAGCTTGATTTGACGAAGGTGGCAAAGAGCTTTGGCTTCCCTACTCCACCAAGAGTTGATATTACCCTCGCTTCTAGCATGAGCAAGGATAAGAAGCAGCCGGCGAGGAGAGCTTATGGCAGCCAACCTAAGCAAGAAAGGCGATAATGAGGTTCGGTGGAATGAGGGAATTTTGTTGTTAATGTGTATAGGGTGGTGTGTTTGAAGTATGAGTTTACCCTTGTACTCGGCGTTTCGGGTGTCAAAAGCTTTAGTAGTCAAATACCATGTCGACGATTTCTTGCATACATATAACTCCCACTCAGCCCTGAATGGTACTTTCTCTGATAAACCTTTTTTTCATAAAAGTATGCTTTTTATATAAAAGATTATTGATATATACCAATGATAAAATAGCTAATTCAGTACTTGTTTTAACGGTGAGAACAGTGCTCTACATTTAGCTAGGTTGTTCTGGAGCCTTATGTCATTTAGTTCTCGTGAACCATCTATACAAGGCATTTGTTTATTTCCAAATACATTTTTTTTTATCCAAGGGTCTCTTTTTTATTCTCCAAAACGCCCATTTATTTTTGACAAGCAGGCCTATCCAGATTTCAAAGAGCACGTTTGGGAAACATGTATGAAATAACCAAATATTCTAGGAAACACAACTTATTGTAGGCCATAGAAATAAATAAATAGCAAGTCAATAGAACTGATAGCTCCCGTCAAGCACCCATTTGTCATAATCAGATACCCATACAACAACCTCCACTAAACCTCCCCTAAACCTCTAAGCAGGCAACTTTCCATTCTTCTTGGCCGTCCAAGTAGCAATAGCATCCATCAAACCCGGACTCAACGAATCATACGTCTCCAATCCCAACCCCTTCAACTTGGTTCTAACCTCATCAATACCAGCCGGATCAAATCCTCCCTCGATAATACTGCTCACAAAAGCAGCGAACTGAGGTTCTTGCCAACCCTTTTGATCACTCAGTTCAGTATGAACAAAGTCTAGTCCGTAAAAAGGATGTTCCTTTTCGATTCTTCCGTAGAGATGGGTACCACACTCTTTGCACGCGAACCGCAGGATAGCGGCTGTTTCATCGACCACGATGAGTTTGTCCTCGTTGGCGGTGACGGATAGGTTTGGACGAGGGACGACGGCGACGAGGGAGAAGAGTGCTCCCTTTGGTTTCCAGCATTTTGAACAGCCGCAGGCGTGGTTGTGGAGTACGTTGCTGGAGAGGGTTATTTCGACTGGGTTTTGGGAGCAGAGACAGTGGAGGGTACCGCCTGGGAATGAGGGGTCGCCTTTGGCAAAGCCGTTGTCTAGGGTTGGATGGAGAGAGAAGGGGGCCATGTTTTTGAGTATAAGAAAATCAAAGAGGTATTTTGGATGATTGCTTTTTGATTTGGGCATGAGAGTAGGCGATTCAGAGATATATATACAGATTATACTCCCTTAATGATTCCAAATTCCCGATATATAGGATTGCGTGTTCCAAACGGGCATTGAACAACTACCGACAGCACCTACTTTCTTCGCTCACCGTCTCGTCCCCTCCTCCCTCAGGATTGAATTATCCGGATGCCGCCGTATCAGCGAGTCCGTCTCTCGGTCCTGGCAAAAAGTCAATGCATTCCCGAGTATGCCAGCCGCGTTGCTGCGCCCATCATCAGTCATTAACTATGCGCCCTTATCTTGACTCAATATGTCTCCCGTTCTGTCAAGTGTGATAAATGCAACATGTAAAAAAGCAAAAAGTCTGCGGCGGCAAATATTACACTTACCGATGAGCGAGAGAACCCGAGATCACGCAATTCGGTTGATGGGAGGTTGTTCACGGCTTTTTGCAACCTTGGCAGATAAGACTTTGGAGAGCTACAAAAAGCAAAAGTTGATGAAGACTAAAAAGGGGGTCGGTCGTGTGGGGCGACGTTGGACAACTGTGAAAAAAGAGGAAAAAAATCAAGGTCGTGCCCGGGCTCGAACCGGGGTTACTGGAATGGATTTTGAATGAAAGAGTAATCAAAATCCAGTGTGATGACCACTACACTACACAACCATGCGACAAGAGCCTCGATTTGGAACGATGAGGGGTGGCACCAGAGCAATTTATATAGCCGAGGTGGATGTGGAGTATCGTAAACACAAAAGCTTCATGCAACACAACACAACAACACATTGCATCTCAAATGAAAGAGAACAAATTTTAGAACCGCAGGAGATTGGATTTGTGTTATGCAAAAAGTTAAAATGAAGAAAAAAGATAAAAATACGACTCGGATACCGGGAGTCGAACCCGGGGCTGTTGAGAGAACATATCACTTCTGAGAAGTGAGAGTCAACGATGTTACCGCTACACCATACCCGATAGGAATGGCTTCCGATGATTGTTGAAAGACGAGATGGAAACAACCGTTATGTCGGAAATGGTGTGTGCGGTTAACAAACACCTCAAACAATCCGAATGTGGACTGTCGGTGTGGTCGGAGAGCAATGGGGGTTTGATTTTGCATTAACGACGTTTTTGCATTGCAAGAAGTATGTGTACCGCTGCAAAGCTCCATCTCCGAGAGCTTCGCATCTGAAGAATGCAAAGGTCACATTCAAATTGGTAGGAAGGACAAACCTCAAGAAGATGGAGAGAAGCCGGAGGACTAGGGCAAAGCGACGTCATTTTTTTGCTTATACAGAATACATCTAGGTAACCTGAGGAAAACGATAAAACATCAAGAAGGCTCTTCTGAGACATATGCAGCAGGAAAAGCGAATCGAAATCTGATTGGTCGCAAAAATAAAAGCTATTTTTGGGCAACAAAGCAAAAGGTGGAGATCTGACGGGAGGAAAGTGGAGTCAATCTAACCGCCGGTCCCTGACAGATGAGATGCTGTCAGCCAATCGTTTTGAATACCCTTGTTTACTGCGAGAACCGACAGACGAAGAGTTGAGTCATTGTGAGAAAGGAATGAATTGATGGTATCCAAGGGAAGTTGTCACTTGCGATGATGCTGAAATACAGTTTAGAAAGCAATGAGTGGCCGCTGTCTGCTTGGGAATTTTGGAATGAGGGTGTGTTTCCATGTGGTGGCATCTGAAAATGCGGGGCAGGTTTTGCGGAGTGCAGTGAGCTGCAGCAGGTCCCTGCAGAAGACTGTCATCTCAACTTTAAATCATCACGACAACATCAATGGCAGCAGAGATTCTTGGTTCTTTGCCTCCAAAAACCGTCAGTCCCTTGGGAAAACAGTTTGCTTATCATCAGCCATTATTCACAATACAATTGCATTCCGACATTTGAATGTTATCGAAGTGGCTGCATCGGCCTTGGGCTGCACTGGCTTCGCATGGCTTCCTGCTTGATATGATCTAGTTGTTCACAGAAGTTAACATGAAACGATGCTTGGAGAACCCAGCTGACATTTGATAGAATTCTACGAGCAAGACATGGCCAATTTAACATCTTTATGTCCTCAATACACTGCCCCGCGAAATTTCACCATGCGTTTCGGCAGCCGCTTCGGAATGACCCTGGACACAGGAACGACTGGTCACCAAGCACCGAGCGCTTAACGTGAGCGCTTCACAAATAGGGACTTTTCTCAATATCCTTTGTCGAGGAACAAAGAAAACACCTGCGTCTATTTTTGCAGTCGTGTGTTGTCTCTTTTTTGGTGCAAGGGTCATGCGGGACTCCCTTATTGTGGCCACCTGCCGCTGTTCACCACAACTTCTATTGTTGTTGCCTTTTCGATTGTTCTCTCTCTTTGTTCTTTTCTTTCAATACAAACAATAGACTCGTGGCAGTCAACCATTATGCGTATCTGATATTGCTGCAGTTTTCATTTCCTTCCCTTTTTCTTATTTTTCAATTTCATTTGTTTTTACTTTTCTCATTTCACGTCTACTTCGTTCACGATATAGCTGGTCTACATATTAATTCTCGGGTTACATTTTTCACGAAAATAACGACACTTCAACAGAAAAACACAAAACATTTAGTTATACGACATCTGTTGGCTGGAACAAGAGTTATTTCGTTATTCTTTCCTACTCAACATGTCTTACGGAGAGAAGAGGCCCAGGGTCGTCCCCCCGGTGCCCTCAAGTCTCAACCCTCATGCTTGGGATGTAGTCGACCTCGATACCCCGCAGAACCGATCTGCTCCCCCCCTTCGACCGCACGCACATACCGACCCGAGCATTACACCATATCTGGGACTTCGAGCAAGGCTTTCCCAGTTATGGTTCAACCGCTGGACGGTTCTCTTGCTTCTGATACTCGCCCGCGTCCTCATGCTCTCTGGAAGCCTCACTGAGGATGTCAAGGAAGCTGGTGATAGAGCTAGTTCAGCATGCCGAAAGGTGGAGGATATCGGCAGCACCATGGCATCCATGCCTCACTACCTCTCGGTCGGCGTCAATAATCTTGCCGCCGAGCGAATTGCCGCCGAGGTTGGCACCCAGTCGCTGAGAATGGAGGATATCTTGACCATCGTCGAGGGAATTATTGTCTTCGCAATCGACATGTACTTCGGATTGATGGCATGCATAGTTCTTTCGTTGGTACATACCGGGTTGGACGTCTCGGTCCAGATTATCGATGGCGCAAAAGAAACCATCGACAAACAAATTGCGACGGTAGCAGGGCAACTATCAGAAAATGTCGTCGATGTCCAAAAGGTACTCGACAATGCTCGGAATTCTATCAACAACCTTATCGGGTTCAGCGGGCAGAACATTGATATTCCGACCATTGACATCTCCAAACAGCTGGAAGGGCTCAAAGGCGTCAGCGTCGCAGATGTCCTCTCCAAGGAGTTGTCAACCCTTAACAAGACAATTCCAAACTTTAACCAGCTCAAAAATGTTACCCAGGCTGCCGTTTCAGTCCCTTTCGCTTTCATTAGGGAGCGGCTCGACAAAACTTACAGCACCAACCAGACCTTCCTGAACCCGAGCTCTTTTCCTGTTGCTGAGAAGCAAGCTCTCACTTTCTGCTCAGACAACACCTTCCTTGGCGACTTTTTCGACTCGCTACAAGGCATCATTAACAAGGCAAAGACCGCTTTCTTGGTAGCCATTCCTATTCTTGCTATTTTGGCCATTGTTGTGATGGGATGGCTGGAGATTCGGCGTTGGCACAGGGAGAAGCAGAGAGCCCGCGTTTTCACCGAGCAAGGCTACGACCCCATGGACGTTGTTTATATTGCTTCCCGCCCCATGACAGCCAATGCTGGCATTCGGTTGTCCTCCAAGTTTAGCGGCAAGAAAAAGGTTTTGGCTCGATGGTTCGTTGCCTACGGAACCTCCCTTCCTGCGCTCTTTGTGCTATCTTTGGCTATTGCAGGACTTCTCTCTTGCCTGTTTCAGTATTTTATGCTGCAAGCTCTTCAGAAAGAAGTCCCAAAGCTCACCGGCCAAGTTGGCGGCTTTGCCGACCGTATCGTCCAGAGTTTGGAATCCGTCTCGACCGATTGGGCGACTGTGGCCAACGCCAAGGTTGAACAAGTCGAGACGGAAATGAATGATGATCTCTTTGGGTTTATTCGAAACGCCACAAAGGCAGTCAACGAGACTCTGAATGCCATTGACAAGGGCGCAAGAGACGAGATCACCAAGGAGCTTGACAATACAATTCTCGAAAAGGTTGCCCTGGATTTTGTTGCATGCGCAATCACGCGCAAGGTCGAGAGTTTCGAGAAGGGAGTCAAGTGGGTGCAGGACAAGCTCAAAGTTTCTCTTCCGAGATTCCAGAACGACTTGTTCTCGGCCGGAGCGAACGAAAGCATCAGCGACGACAGTGATCTTCAAACATTCCTCGCAAGCCCTAGTACTGTCTCTAGCGATGAAGTGTCGAGCGAGATTCAGAAGGTTATAGGCAAGGTGCAAAGCGGCATTATTCAGGAGATGTTGATCTCACTCGCTTTGCTCCTTGTGTACATCATCATCGTTCTTTTCGGGGCCGCTTCTGCTGGCTTTCAGATGGCGAGACGGGATAGTACCCGTGGCGTCGGTGGAGAGCGGTACGGAGTTAAACAAGGAGGTGATTACGAGACGAGAAACCCAGCCAATGGTTTCGGTTCTTTTGAGAATAGGGAAGAGGTGGTCAACGCCGGGAACGCAAGGCGCAGTCCGGAAGTTAGGTTCAACACTCATGCCAGGAAAAGCAGTTATCCCGAGGTGGAGGAATCTGGGCGATAGGAAAGCCCGAGAGGTCGAAGCACGAACGGAGAGGGTTCTCGGTCAAGCGCAGACATAACTAAGAGGTGGTCGTCGCCGCCAACATATGGCTTCGTCTGGCATTTTATAAGAAACTCGGAACTCCAGACAGGTAGGTCTGGAAGATAATAAGATTGGATCAATGAATAGACAAGACACAGCAGAACGTTCTGCGTAAAATTTCTCTTTAATTCTTTTATTGTATTTTCCTTGTTTTATTTGTCTTTCTGTCGTTTTAACATCATGAAATAAAAAAGATTTACACATGTTGTTCCGTGCTTACTGTAATATTCACGAGTATCTTATGTGCCTTCCAGAGTAACCGTTCATCACGCTAATGGCAATAGAGGCTCCGGAATCGGTCATACGGACGTGCCCGCTCCAAACAGATGCGTGGCAAGTTGCAAGTGCAACTTTGGAGGTTGGAGAGGAGACACTGCACCTGCGGGGTTCCTCTAAAAAAGTGGCCAAGGGCGGTGACTCAACTCCGACCCGACAATTTCGCCCGCTACATCAAGGTGTGGACCCCTGATGTTTCTGCTTAAACTCTTTTCCTGTCTGCTGCCATCCGTGTCTCTCTCTCTATTCACCACCATTTTTGACTTCACAAAGAAGTCTTTTGTTACACAGGAATTCAGTTTGCTGAAATCCAATTGACCCCAATTGACTTCCTTTTTTCCTTTACTTCCACAAACATGGAGGGCCTCAAGCAAACTTTTGCGCAATGCAAGGCGCAGAACCGGGTGAGTTAATCGCATTTTTGCCCCGCCATCTTTTGATCATTCCCAACGGCCGAGAAAAAAAAAAGGCAAAACGTTTCCGAGGGACACACAACAAAATAA